TGGGCGCAGATGCGGCTGGACGTAAGTGCTGACCCCGACCCCCACCCCACCCCCGCCGGAGCCTCCCTGCGCTGACAGGGGTCTTCTTGGTCTCCCCCCCCCCCCCAGTACCAGGGCTGCCGCAGCGCCGTGGCCAGCTGCCTCGTGGCCCAGCGGAAGATGGCGGAGGAGGTGGTGGCTGCCCGGACTGAGAGGGCCCAGCACCAAGAGGCAAGGCTCCTTCCTGGGGGGGTGGCTGGAAGAGTGGGGGGGGGTCTGCTCCAATCCTTATGAGACCCATTGATTTCCTCACCCCCACGCACACTCATGTGGGCACTGTGCCAGAGGTGGTCCTTGACTTATTTATTTTATTTATTTATTATTTCAATTTATATCCCGCCCTTCTCCCGAAGGACTTACGACCACAACTGACCCCAACATTTCTGTTGCTGAGCGAAGGCATTTGTTAAGTGACTTTTGTCCCGTTTTGCGACTTTCCTTGCTGCAGTTGTTAAGTGAATCACTGCGGTTGTTAAGTCAGTCGCACGGTTGTTAAGTCAGTCTGGCTTCCCCTATTGATTCTGCTCGTCGGAAGGTCGCCAAAGGGGATCACCAGACGCTGGAGCCGTCTTCCATGTGAAAAACGGTCATCACTCACTTTGGTCAGCGTCGGCGTAACTTTGAACGTTCGCTAAACGAACTGTTGTAAATCGAGGACTGAGCTGCATCGCACTCCAACACACACCTCCGGTGTTGCAGATGATGTGCAGCTTTCCTGGGTCCCCAAAACTCGGTCCTTCCAGGTGTTCCCCCCCCCCCCCCATTTCCTCTGGCTTTCTTCAGCCTTAAAGCCTCATCCTTCGGCAAAAGTTTCGGGTGCGAAGTAACGCAGGTACTGGGGAAAAAAATGACTTATGGCCAGTCCTCACACTTACGACCGTCGCGTCATCCCCCACGATCACAGGGTCAAAATTCAGCCGCTTGGCAAATGTCCCGTATTTATGACGGTCGCAGCGTCCCCGGGGGGGTGGTCCCGTGATCCCCTTTTGAGACCTGACAAGCAAAGCCCCTTGGGGGGGCAGATTCACTTAACGACCGAGTGATCAACTTAACAATTGCAGCAGCAGGAAAGGCTGTAAAATGGAGCCAAACTCCCTCAACCATTGTCTCCCTTAGCAACAGAAATTGGGGGCTCTGTTGTGGTTGTAAGCCGAGGACTCTCTCCCTATATCTTTTGAGCTGAAGATAAGATAACCTTTATTGTCATTTTTTTACTGTGGGCACAACGGCACACATCAAAAAATGAAATTTAGTTGCCCGCTCTCAAAGTGAAACATACATGACACACACTTAAACATACTATGTACAACATATGTATACAGGCCCACACCCCTACATATACATAGCAAATAAATATTAAATACTGTCTCAATTCTAACCCATCAGCCACTCTGCAGACACTGGGACCTTCAAACACTGGAAGGTGCCCCCCCTCCAAAGGAGGGGTCTCCCGGACCCCCTCCCCAACATTCCCTCCATAGCAGGGGTCTCCCAGACCCCCTCCCCAACATTCCTTTTTTCCCTCCATAGCAGGGGTCTCCCGGACCCCCTCCCCAACATTCCTACCCAGCTGGCAAAATCCCCCTTTGGGGAAGGGGGAGAACGGCGTTGAGCTGATGGGCGTGCATCTCTGGGCTCACCCCCACTGCTGTGGCTCCCTGCCATGCAGGCAGGGACTACAATGCCCATGCCCTCCTATGTGACGTGCAGGTATGCCAGAAGCTGCTGTGGCTCCCTGCCATGCAGGCAGGGACTACAATGCCCATGCCCTCCTATGTGACATGTGCAGGTATGCCAGAAGCTGCTGTGGCTCCCTGCCATGCAGGCAGGGACTACAATGCCCATGCCCTCCTATGTGACATGTGCAGGTCTGCCAGAAGCTGCTGTGGCTCCCTGCCATGCAGGCAGGGACTACAATGCCCATGCCCTCCTATGTGACATGTGCAGGTCTGCCAGAAGCTGCTGTGGCTCCCTGCCATGCAGGCAGGGACTACAATGCCCATGCCCTCCTATGTGACATGTGCAGGTATGCCAGAAGCTGGAGGAGAGGACGGTGGAGCTAGTTGAAGCTCTGGGCCGGGTGAACGAGCTGGTGGAGACCAACAGGCGGCTGGACCAAGGTGAGCCCCAACGATGCGCTGCGCCCGGTTTAAAGCAGGCGCCGGGAATTGTGGTGCGCGCTGGACCTGGAGCAGAGTAGTCACCAAAGTTTGGCTCCTCTGGCTTGACCACAGATGGTGGGGAAGGAGGGGGGAGGACAAGCCCCTTCTGGGGGTCTTGCCCACCAAGATTGGGGGGGGGAGCTTGACCCCCTGACCTGTCCGCAGACCTGCAGGCCGCTGTGGAAAAAGCGAGGACCTCAGAATACCAGCTGGAGCAGCTGCAGGAGGAACAGCTGGCGCTCACCCAACAGCTGGAGGAGAAGAGGACGGCCGTCCAGCGGCTGCAGGACGAGACCGCCAGGTGAGTCCTGATGTGCTGGGGGGGGGCAGCAGCTTGGCTGCTTTCGCCAGCCTGCCGCCCTCCAGATGTTTTCAGCCATGGCTGCCGGGATTCCGACCGCTGCACCACCTCTGGATGGGTCTGGGGTCTGTCTTTTCTTTAATTTCACCTGGGGATTATTTACCAAGCTTGGCCACTTTTAAGACCTGTGGACTTCAACTCCCAGAATTCCCCAGCCAGCTGTGCTGGCTGGGGAATTCTGGGAGTTGAAGTCCACAGGTCTTAAAGTGGCCAAGCTTGGCCACCCCAGTCATAAATGGCCCATTCTTAAAAGGGCTGCCCCCAACCCTTGGGTTTTTTTATTTGGGGGTGGACTTCAGCCCCCTCCCCCAGGAATTGGGGCAATTCCCACACCTCCCCCCCCCTCTAATTCTCCCAAAGACCGAGTGAGACTCTTGTAGCGGTGAGGGGCTTTTGGGGAGGCAGCAACTGCGAAGACCCCCGGCCATTTGAGGGGTGTGTGAAGCTCTGAACCCACTTTCCATTTCACCATCAGTTATGCCCATCGGACGGAGGCACAGGGAGTCCTTTACTTACGACCGTCCGTTTAGTGACGGTTCGAAGTTGCACTGGCACTTAAAAAAAAACACGACGGTTTTTTTGCACTTACGACCATTGCAATGTCCCCGGGGTCGTGTGCTCAAAACTTCTTGGCAACTGGCTCGTATTTACGACGGTCGCTGTGTCCCGGGGTCGCGTGACCTCCTAACAAGCAAAGTCGGTGGGAAGGCCAAGCTTCGCTTAACGGCCTTCTCACTAACCATGGTCGTAAAATGGGGCAAAACTCACTTAAAAACGGCCTTGCGGCGCAGCATATAATA